GGGACTATTCCCTCAAGTTCCCAAAATCCCCCTACCTAAGGAAAGTTACTTTTGCTATAAAAGCTGTGTGTAAACCATAAACGGGGCCACTCTCTGCTATTAGCAATGGGTGGACCTCCTGTTCCCAGCTTTCGTCTCTAGTCTCTTTCTTTTCCAGTCTCCCACCCAATCCTCTCAGGTACCCTCTCGGTAGACTCCTGGCTGATGAGTCAGGAGTGCTCGTTTGATGTGCGGGACACATCAAAAGTGGCGCCCGAAACAGGGACCTGAGCACAGATTGAAGGCAGCCGTAGGTGAGGAGACCCCCATGGGAAGGCGCATGCCGCTTTGCTTCATAGAAGGTAGGAGCAAAAATCAGGGTGCGATATAGAGAGGAGCAGAATTGGCCACTCTGGTATCCCTATATCTAATTTCAGGCAGGAGTAAAACATTGGGCAATCAGGACAAACAGTCCATTGTATATAAAAGGTCATCAGCCTACTCATAAATAGGGTCAGCAGCCCATATAGACATAAGGATGGGACAGTCAGGGTCAAGGGACCATCAACTTTATTTGCTAGTGTGTAGATCTATGCTGCGGGCTCGTGGCAGCCCTGTTAAAGCTCATCAGTTAGAAGATTTTTCTTGCTTATGTAAAGGATGCCTGTCCTTGGTTTCCGGAGGAGGGAACTCTTGATTCTGAAACCTGGGAAAAGGTTGGCGCACAGCTCCGAGAGCGTCAGGCGCTCGAATGGCCTGGGAAGTCTCCCGGCGACGCGCTTTTGCTCTGGGAGTTAGTGCGGGACAGTCTCGATCCCAATCCAGAGGCTTCCTATCCCCTGGAAACAGTCTCAGCCTACAGTGGAAAGACTTAGTAATGCTGTTCAGGAGTTTGAACAGATCTCAAGAGAAACAGATACTAGCTAGCGAGGAGTGGAGGCATAATGCTGAGTCAGAGGAATCTTTTGAGGAGGAGGAAAATGCAGTCCCTGAGAAAGAGGGGTCGGCTCTTGCTACCCGGACTGTGTATTGTTCTCGGCGGGGGCGTCCCGCACCCCGGGACCCGTCTCCATCATCGCCACCGCCGTATGCAAGGCAGCAGCAGTCTGCTTCGTGGCAGCTTGTTAAATATGTCTCAGGTTCCAAGAGCCGGATTCTGGAGTCGAGTGTACTCCAGGGGTTAAGGCAGGCTGTGGAAAGAGGCGAGGATATTGGGGAGTATCAAAGATTTTGCTTTCCAGTGATAAAACGTCCAGACCCCAATAATCCAGGACAGGTGCTCAGGGAGCATGAGCCTATTCCTTTTAAGACGCTTAAGGAACTCAAAGCCTCAACCGCCCAGTATGGACCTACTGCTCCTTTTACTTTAGCATTGCTTGAGACCGTTTTCAGCAAACACACCTCTTACTCCAAAAGATTGGATAATGATAACTAAGGCTTCTCTAACTGGAGGGGATTATTTGCTCTGGAAAACAGAGTTCATTGACCAGTGCGAGCAGCAGGCAGAGCGAAATGCTGCACACCAGATACCTATTCCAGCTGAGATGCTTAAGGGAGAAGGGAATTATGCAGGCATTCATAATCAAATAGGATATCCTCCGTTAGCCTATCAACAGATTAATTTCTGTGCTACTAGGGCCTGGAGGGCACTTCCCACTGCAGGGACAAAGACAGAGGTGCTGTCTAATGTAAGACAGTGTCCAGACGAGCCGTATCAGGACTTCGTCTCTCGGCTCCTGCAAGCCATAGGGCGGCTCATTAATGACCCAGGAGCCGCACAGCTTCTTGCCAAACAGCATTTGAAAATGCCAATTCTACCTGTAAATCTTTAATACAGCCTTATAGAAAAAAGGCGAATGTTTCAGATTTTATCCGCCTTTGTGCAGATGTAGGGCTGTCTTATATTCAGGGCAATGCTCTTGCCATGGCGCTGCAAAAGGTTTTCAACCCAAAGCTGCAACAAAAGAGGGAGAGAAATCGTAAGGAGGGAGTATGCTATTCTCGTGGGCAGGCAGGCCATTTCTCTAGGGAGTGTCCTAGTAAAAATCTCCAAGTAGAGTCTGGACGCTCACCTCAGATTTGCCCTAG